TTGGAGTATTAAATTTTGAATAAAATTATCTGTTTAATCTCCAGTGCAAAAAAATAAAAATGATGCTATAAGAAATAAACCAAAGTGTTGAAACTGGATGTGAAAACTACTAATCAGCGTTTTCAATCTTTATCATTTTCTCACATTGTTGTGGTAAAATTTTGTCACAATCTCTAATCCACATTTACTTTAATACCTCACTGAAGAATCAAGAGTTTTGTCATCATAAAACTGTTGCAATATTTTATTGGGACCTCTGGCCTAAAATACACACTTTAAACACAAACATTAAATAAATACTAGAACATTTACAATTTAAGAAATTACCCTTAGAGATTAAGAAAAATTTGAAGCATTTTTAAAAGATATAAAACATAATTTTAAGAGATATACATGTACATTGAAATGTAGTCTGTAAAAAAAGGCATGTTTGTGACAAAGTGATGTAAATGAAAGGTATATAAGAAAAGTAAAAGCATAGAAAACTAAATCACAGTAACATACTAAAGGTTGAGTATAAAGGCATAATAGAAAGCATGTAATATGTACATGGATTCACATTGAGCTTTGGGAGACTGTCTTACAGCAGTATCTTCAATTAGCTGTCTGGACTTTGACTAGGCCATTAGAGCAATTTGCTGGAAATGCCATTGCCACTACCAAGAAAGTCTTTCATTACCTTTATTGGATTAGGATACTCTTTTGCTCATTAATTAGACTTAACAGCTTATTGAACAATATTTAAATCTGTAATAATTATAGTTATTAATGATATTATGTGTTTTCTTTTTTATTATTTAGCTAAAAAGTGCATTTAAGTGATCCGATATAACCCCTTTGTGCTTAATTTTCTACAGTTGTTAGAATACAAAACCAAAGGAGAAGTGTAAATTAACTGATTTTTTTCCCGCTTTTTTTTTACTGTGTCACCAAACACACTCTCTGTGTTTTTCCCCTCTTCTTTGGGGGCGGAGGGGTGTGCTTTTGTGGGGCTCTGGGGGCGGTGTGTGGTTTTGGGTCTTTTCTCAGGGACCCAGAGTGGCAGTCTGTGGGAGTGGGGCTCGAACTCAGAACCTCTGGATTCCAAGTGTGACGCCCTAACAACTAGGCCGCAACTCCCCAACAAAAATTGCCAAATTCTGTTTGTGTTTTTTCTTTTTTGTTTTATCTGTCATTTGTTTTATTGTGGATTCAAATAAAAAAGAAAGGGACCCACATTTTTTTGGAGAGCAGAATAAGCAACACCTGGTAGAATAAAGCAGACTGTGTATTCTGGCAGGCAGTTTAACAGACTTTAAGCAAACCCCACACTGTGGAGGGTAGAAGTAAAGGAAATCACTTGTAAATGAGCCGAGGAGCTGCAGGAAAACCAGCAGACTGAAGCCTGCAGAGGAATAACCAGCAGGAGGCTTCACACGTTTAATGAAGGGGGCCATCCGTATTCTGGTGGAATAGTTTTAAGTGGGAATAAACTTACTAAACTCCTGGGCTAAGGTTAGAATAAACATTCATTTAAATAGTTTGAGCTACAAACATATAGAACAGTGTGCCTCAAATCCACAGAGCAAGGGATTTACAGTACATATCCTTTTTGAGAGTATAATGTTATTAAGTAATTTTAAGAACTTAAAGGATTTTTGGAAAGCAAGCCTGAGAGCAAGCAAAGACCAACACAGATTTTAAAACATTATCTTTGACATCACGGTTTTCAAGCAACAATCATGCATTCCTGCTTAGAAATCTGGAAATACCGCTTGGGGTTTGGGGTTTTTGTTGAACCTCTTCTTGTTTCTGTTTCTTTCATTCAGTATCAGAAGGCGTGATGCATCTAATCAGATGCTAACTTCTGTAGGGGCTTGATTTATACAGATCAAATAGAGGAGTGAAACTTTTAAAAACATTTAAACAAGGGTTCCAAGGCATCTTGGTTCTTTCTCTCAGATGGACAATGAAACAGATGGGAGTCCCTTATTTGTTGAATGATTTCTAAGTTAAGTGGATAACAGTAACAAAAAGTCAGAATATTAGTTTTATACATTTTACTGTTTTTGGTGTTCTTCTATATTCTATTGTCTATGAAAGATGCTAAATAAATATACCTCCATTGTTTTTTGTTATTGTTATTGGATGTCTGAAAACGATCTCAAGATCCCACACTTACTGGTCCCAGATTGATCAACACTTTTGAGTGTCTGTCCCTAATTTTTCTTTTTAATTTGGAAGATGATTAAATGGCAATTTCGGTGATAAACTTGTTGAATATATTTTTTAATCTTGTTAATTGAGAAGTCTTTTAAAATTATTACGGTAAATGTATTTACTAAATGCTAAACTCTGAAACAAGACAAATGTGGGTTCTTTCAGATGTGATTTTAAAGCAGAGGCTTTTTAATCCCAAGAAAAGGTTCTTTAATCAAACCCTGATGTTCCTTAAACCTCAGATTGTTCCAGTGAAAGTAGATAAAAGAGACTCATTCAGATCATAGTGAAGTCATCAGCTGGGTAGCAGTCATGTGATCTGATTTTTTTTCTTTAATTACAACTCTGAAGGGCTGCTAATGAGCCTCATCAAGCTGATGATATTACTGCCTCAAACAATAAATCCGATGCTAACTATTGAAACTTAGATTTATCATGTGAGGGCATTAGTCTGAGTGTTTAGGCAACACATGTAGTAATTGAATCTGTATCACCCCCCTCTCAAAAATAAAACAAATAAAGGTGATAGTCCAAGTGAAAGTTTCTTTATCTGAATTAAAATCTCCCAAAAAAGAAAGTGAAAATATTCCGCTATAAAGCTCTAGTTATATTGAAATACTTTGTTAGGATACATCATTTATTAATTAATTATTCTTTTAACATTTTTACACTTCTTTCAGTGTAAGTTTAAAAAAAATACCCACAGTTTAATTACTGAATAAATACCTTAACTCACTCTACCCATTATATGTCTTCTTGAGTTCTTGAATAAACAGTAAAATGAACAGATGTTCTATTAGTTTTGAAGTTTTAAATCCAACCAGCAGGTGGTGGTGTTGCATAATTTATAATGCCATAGCAGAGATTCATTTGCAGAGACATAGCTCACCTTCTTTCATAATGTTCATCCTCAAACAGGGGATTTATCAAAACAAAAAAACAAATAATAAAAAATAAAATAAAAAAAACACCTTTCAAATGTGTAGATGTTTAATTTTGTGTAGCAAAAATCTGCTCTACAAGATGAATAGGCTATTTGCTTTTGCATCATGGATGACTCATGATGACTCATCAGGAAAATAACTATATTGAATAATCTTCTAATGCATCCTCGATTTATCCATTTTTTAATTTTCTTTATTGCTTTTATGCCTACGTTTACAAACTAACAAAGTTGTTCTTTGTTTTGTAAGAACTGCCTTAAATATATTAACCTTTTTTTTTTTTATCTTAATCAATATTTTTTCACATTTATCTAAGCCCATTGATAGTTTTTTTTTTAAATCCATTTCCGAAAACTATCATATTTAAAACTTAGATAAAGTCACAGGCTTTTCATACAACTTCTTGCATAAAAGGTCTTCTAGTCCGTTACGACACCGTGGAATTAAATTATATAAACTAAAATGATGTTTTATCCTCATGCTTTTGCTTAAGCTTCATATTCATACCACTCTTTTTTTTTTTTTTAATACTTTTGGTTTCTTGTAGTTAAAAACAAACCTGAAATGCCTCCTGTTCAGTATCCCCCTATTGAATTTCCACCTAGAGGATTTTAGTTACTTCCTGAAGCATTTTCAGTTTCTATTCTTGTACAAACTCACCCAAAATGTCAAAGAGCATTAAACAGTTTCAGTTTATCGTGACCCTTGAAACTCTCCACAAATCCCCCTTTTACAAGCCCGGGACTCCCCCAGCATTAACAGGTTCTGCAGAGACATGTCCTACATTGTGTCAGTACCATGTTTCCGCCGCTAGGGGGGATCATGAGACGCGTTTACTCTATTTTTTTATTGTCACCTGCTGAAGTTGATGTAAGAGCCAGCAAATCGCTTGAAAACATGCATGTGAGACGAAAGCAATACAGTGCATGGTAATAAACATTTAATAAACGCTTCTGTTCTGCACGCTGCAGCCTGTAAAGCTAAACCTAATCAGGGTCCAAACGTCCTGGATCATCGTGCAGGGCCCTGAAGCTTCCAGAACAGAATGCGTCCTGCACCAGCAGGGGAGAACCCAAACACCCGAGAAACAAAACGCCCTGCTGACTTGTCCGTGTTTATCACACAGCGTCTTTTTCCATTCTGTATTTTTAACTGTTGCACAACCCGCGGCAACAGCAGCCCGTTATACAACCCGGAGGGCTCGTGCTGCACCACGGGGTCGGTCACCTGCTCCAGCTTCCCCTCTCTGGGTCCCTGGACTCATCAAGGTCCATATAACATATCAACATGTATGGCATTAGGTATATGCATGTGCTCATAGACTGATTTATTTGAGCTTTTGGGAGGATTTTGCAGCAAGGACAGGTTTGTAGGAAGGGAGGAGGAAGATCTGGAAATTCCTCTACCCAGGAAGAAAAAAAAAACCTCCGTAAACAAGCAGAGAAACAGAGAGAGAGAGGGCAGGAAGAGGAGGTGAAAATGCGGGGGATTCTCCGAAACCACCCACGTGGGATAACCGGTATCTGTGACTAGCTCAGCCAATGAGAGTCCACCATCGGGGCTCGATTGACCAATCACAGAGCGATCGGCTGGGCGCGGTGACGCCCGCTAAACTAGGAGGTATAAATAGAAGAGTTTCGGCTGTCAGAGGCAGATCGCTCCTTTATTCACTGAGAACACAAGCAGCACGGACATTTATCACAAACCGATCCTCAACGAATACTGGAAGGACTTTGGTTCGGATCTTGGTTACCGATTTGTTTGGACTTTTGTCTTTTGGAATCTAACAGGACAGCCGCCTCATAACGAGCGCTGTGGATTTATCTTTCTATCCTGGAGCTGGTGGAATATTATTCTGATTTCAACATGACTTTGGAGGAGGTCGTTGGAACCAACAGCACAGAGAAAAAGTAAGCGTCCTGGTTATGAGCGATGCGTAATTACGCACAGAGTTTAGCAGCTAATTCTTGTATGATCATTTAATTGCATAGACCTTTGGTAAGCTTTAGAGCATTCGGCAAAAAAACCCAGCAGGTATTTTGTGCTCCGCCAGTTTCGGTCACATTTCTAACCACCTTCGTGTCTCTGCAGGATGGAGACGGTGAGTCAGGCTCTGGAGGAGTTGCTGGTTGCAGCGCAGCGGCAGGACTGCCTCACTGTGGGAGTCTACGAGTCCGCCAAACTCATGAATGTGTAAGTAGAATGAGTTTTTTCTCAAGTTGGTTCTAGATTCCTTTAATTTTTGAAATGGTTGTGCATCGGCGCTGACTCTAACTGTAGTCCTCCTCTTTGCTTTGCAGTGATCCAGACAGCGTGGTTCTGTGCCTCCTCGCCACCGATGAGGAGGATGAGGACGACATTGCCTTGCAGATCCACTTCACGCTGCTTCAGGCTTTCTGCTGCGACAATGACATCAACATCCTGCGGGTGTCCGGCATGAGACGGCTGTCTCAGCTGCTTGGGGAGGACACCGAGGACAAAAACGGCAACGAGCCCCGGGACCTGCACTGCATCCTGGTCACTGTAAGTACGCACCCCCTCTCTGCTGCATGCATGAAACCCTTCGACAATATGGACCGGTTATCATGTTATATGCAGGAGTCTAACAGTAGTTTTTGTTTCTGCAGAATCCTCCTGTGCAGCCGCTGCAGTGCCAGGCCCTGCAGGACGTCAGCAGCTTCTGTGAAGAGAGCCGCTGCAGGAATCAATGGGTGCCTTGCCTGGAGTTGCAGGACGGCTGACTGAATCGGGATCGTGCCGAACCAAACCATACCGCCTTGGGGCGGTGAGAAGAAGTTGGAATAACCCGAAACGACCCGTCCTCCTGGAAAAAGGAGGAGCAACGGCGTTTGAGAAAGGCCGCGGGACCCCCGGCCGAAATGCGGGAGCGCTTCCTGCTGCGTGAATGGATTGACTGATCTGATCCGGTCTGGGACAGCGCGTGAGATGGTCGGCTCTGAAAGCCGAAACGTGCTGGTGCAGCTGCAGAGAAAGGAGGAGGCTGTTTTTTTTAATGAGACACTGAAAATGACTGAACTGATGAGTGAATAGAGTGCAGAGTTGCACGTGGAGACGTGAAATGAGCTGCAGGTGCTCCAGGTGTTCAGCTCACCTGTGCGCATGCTCTGGACTTCATCTTCAACTATCATCACTTTCAGACAAGTGAACTACATGTCTGTGTGTTTTTGGTGTTCAGACTAATCAGTGAAAAGTGAAAATGTAAAGACTTGATCTGTTTGATAAATAAATTGTTGATGAGTACATTTCAGATTCTTGAGTGGTTCATCCAGGTTTTAGAGAAATGCCTATTGAGCCCATTAACAGCATATGGTGGGCCAGTCTATCCCTCTGATCAACCATTTTATACCAAATAATAACCACATTTCTGACTTATTACAACCACCTTTGCTAGCAGTGGTAACTCTCAGTTTCTGACATATAGACTGAAAGTGTCTGATTGAATCATGTTTCTCAACACCCCCAACTTAAAAATTCAATATGACTGTATGTAAAACATGGTTATTAATCTAGTAAAATGTTTTTTTAGATTATAGACTACTTTTTAATCCTGAAATAAGTCACATATGGAGCTGTACCCTATGCCTTCTTCAGTGCAGCAATAGATATATTCAAAAATTTAAGTCATGGCTTTAAGGAAATCACTTTACAATTATTTTTTTTTATTGAGCCCTGGACATTTAATTATTTTCCAGAACTTTTTTTTAGTTAATTGCATCTTTAAGTCTATTTTCTCAAACGTATGGACCTAGACAAACCGTTTTTTTCTTTAAAATACACCAGGACAATCTACTTTATCTCAATCTTAAAGTCCAAAACAACTGACCAGTGGTTTTTGACAGAACCCTCCCAGATGTTACATTGTTCTCCAAGTATCTCCATCCTCACTGGCAGTGAGACTCAAAAGATTGATGCAAATTTATCCTTTCCCTGACTTATGTATTTGCAGTCTTTATAGGTTTTTTTTTGTGGTGTACCAGCTTAATAGACAGATTAAAGAAGTGCAGATGCTGTGCCTATTAAAGTCCTTGACTTTAAATTCTTGTTTGAATCCTGGTTGTCAGGATATTCATCAGTTGTAAAAACTAAGTCTGAGAGCTAGTTGTAGTGACTCGCCTTGGCGACCCCTGAATATGGGAGTAGCCGAAAAGACACAAATGAGTGCAGATGACAAACCCTCACAAAAGGTTAGTCATCATCCTTTGAGCTCGTGTACGGTTCCCCTGGTTCAACCCTGACACTAGTATCCTCAGTAGCTTTACTGTTCGTTCCTTTCAGCACCACATGCTTTTTTTTGCCAAGGCATAATCTACAAATTGCAGTTATTCACATCATTTGACGAGAATGCAACCACACTGGATTTTTCTCTGTACCACTAAAACCGATTAAACTTGTGCAACCCTTGAGTAATACACTGATAAGACAAAACATTATGGCCGGCATGGGTGTCCTGACTGGTTTGTAACCAAGCCAAATCCCAATCTGCAGTGATATGTGGAACCTTTCTGCATGGAGTTTAAATGCTCTCCCTGTTATCACTTGGTTTTTCTATAAACTCCAAAAACAGGACTGTTTTGGTAAGTGGTTATACTAAATTGGACTGTGATGGACTGAAAGACATCCTGAGATGTACCCTGTCTCTTTCCCAATGGCTCCAGGATATATGCCTTGAAACTATAAAAGGATAAAGCAAAGTTGATGGATGGGTTGCCTTTTGGTTTTCTACACATCTATAAGCTTATCGGTGATTCCCCACTCTTCCTTCTTTGACTTTTTGATAAAAAATAATTATAAACTATAAAAAACCCACAAAAAATGCCATTTTGAAATTCCTCCTATGACGTTTTCTATCTCTTCTGATTCAGCCCTGGTAAATCTTTTACAAAGAATCTGTTTTGATGAATGGCATGATGGAAAATTTAGAAGTGTTTCCTAACACACAAGTCAGCGGTCATAAAGTTATGCCTTATCAGCGTTTGCTCAGTGTTTTTGTTGCTATTAATCCAAACAGGTTTTCAACATGTTCACAGCTGGACATTAATCTGATTATAATGAGCTGAAGCCACTCATGCTCATGGCTATCCATTGCTGCTAATGAGACCAATTTACAATAATAAAAAAACTACCATCTATTCCAGAGCTGTTGTGAAATCACAGAGCCCCTAAGTATCCCCAGTGGTATTTATCTCTAAGTTATTTAAGGACATCACATCATTTATTTTAGAGGGGATGATAAAACAAATTAAAACACATTAGCAAATATTACATGATGTCGTTGAGGTTTAGCGACATCATGAGACAAAAAAATAAAACAAGACATGGATGAAGGCATTTCTGCTTTTATGCAAACAGAACCACTCTTTAAGGCAAGAGTGTAAAATAATCAGTTTGTGTTGCGGTGTTAAAAGAAGGAGATCTTTAATGTGAGTTTCACAGTTTAATTTCCAAAAGGTTCTGCTAACAATGAGTTTTTTTCACATGGACCCTTTCAGATTATGGAGGTCGACGCTTTCTTTTTATAAAACTGTTATGTGATGTGGCTGCAGAGACAATCACCTTTTCAAGCTGCCTCCAGCTGGCCATAAATCGTCAAACAAGTCTCCCACCTTCTGAGAACATGTGAGCGTTCATAAATGAGGGAGGAGCCATCATAGAACCACATAACTAAAGATTTTCCCAGCTGAGCCCAATTCTGGTGCTGGGCAAATGTACAGCTTTGCTGATTAATGCTTCCCATCTATGATGCTGTCAGTTTTGATGGACGGCCATGTCCTGTCAGGTTTGCAACTACGTGCATCTCACCACAAAATTCTTCATCAAACATTTTTTTAAGACAATTGGCTGAACTAGATTTTATAAAATGGTGTGCAACTTAAGGGGTCAGACATAATCTGACCTCCCCCGGTCAAAATTGAGAGCGTAATGCCCCATTGATGATTATTTTCGCATTCTTAACCCAGAATGTTTCAGCTTGAAAAATGTTCCATAATGCGGATGCCATAAGGTCACAGCTTTCTGTAGCCCTATTCACAGAACGGCATGTGATGTTTCTGCAAAGATCGGAGCCACAGGAGACGTGATACAACGTCTGACGTGGGAGCTACACAGTGAACGTGACTTACTCTTTCATACGTCAACCATGAGGTCATTTCTTTATGACTGGTTTATCCTGATGCATTTATACGGTAAAATCTTTTAAGTGCTTAGAGAACATCCAGCTTCAGAAATCACTCTTAAGATATATGCAATAAGAACAAAGAATATATTAAAGGAGTTGCTGATTGTTATGATTATAACAGATTACGATCTATATAGATGAGATTTTTTTGACTGAATGGAAATACTGTATGTCTTTTAGAGACATTAGACGGATGTAAAATTTAAGATTTTGTTTGTAATTAACTTAACACAAAATCAATGATGATATAAACATAACAGTTGTCTTGCCCTGGCTTATATTCTTATTATTTCAAGCTATTTATACTATTTAAAATGTTCTCATCAATCCTCTTCTAGCGCCTGTTAATTTCAAAATGATAGTTTTAAGGGAGGATTAATAGTTCTGCATGGGTTTTATGAACTGGAATGTTGACAGAGAAACCCAGTCCTCTACCTTCTCAATATGAACCAAAGAATTACTAAATAAATCTTTCTGATTCTCTCCTGATCTTTGCAGGATAAAAATGGATGAAAACATGGAGGAGTCCGTTGGTGGACATCTGCCCAATGTCCCAGTTTCTATGGTGAAGCTTTCACAGCTTGCAGCTCTTCTCTGTCTTGTTGGCATTGAACCAGCAACAAAAAGTTGCCTTGCTCTGGAAAACCTGTCGCTTGGTTTCTTCATTTTGGTTGAAATTGTATTTATTTGTTCATTAATCCACTGTATAAGATGTTAATCGTTCAGGTAGCGTAATTAAACACCAGATCCCATCATGCAGCTGAGTTTTGCAAAGACATATTAAAAGTGTTTTTATCTGTTGTGGTAGCTAAGTCTATCTATTTTGCAATTCTCTCAGAGTTTGATATATAAAGCAACAGAGAACAGAACGTTTATCAACTCTCCAGCTCATATCTGCTCCTGAGGTCATTCTGCAGGGGTCAAATGTTTCTGTAAAGAAGAAGAACGCAGAGTTCCTCCCACTGTGTGCCTTTGTGAAAGCTGCTCTGCTGTGAACTGAAGCTCAATGTGCACAAACAGCATCAACCTCTGTCCATGATGTCACATTGTGATGTCACATCCTGTTTGGATGTGATGGGAATTCGCCAGCACTGTTAGCTTTGTGCGCTGGCCCTTCCCAGGTGAGGCCAATGGGGAAAACAACTCTTATGAAAATATAACAAAGTCCTGCAGGTGAAGAACAGCTTCACAAAAAGTAAAAATAGCTCTTGCCTGTATCTGTTATGATAACAAAATAAAAATTAAAAACTATAATTTTCTTTTAAAATCCTGCAGCAATCTTAGTTTAGATAAAAATAAAAAATCTTATGTCTTTCAACATAATTTAGTATGGTCTGAATTGGAAACATAAAGTTATACATTATGGATAAACTTAATACACCTCATGACCCAACAGGTTGTAGAATCTTAATTAAGATGAGTATTTCTATGGTTTTTGTTTTGTTTAAGAGCATCGTGTGTAGGTTAATCTTGATGTAGAAATTGACATTTGTAGTTTGACTGACAGGCAGCGCAGCTCTGCGTCAAGAACATTTGCTTTACATTTAAGGAAAGCTCCCTTTTGATAATATTTTTGACTTTCCACAATTAAATCCAGTCAAATTCCAGACATTGTATCAGTATGTGCAACAGAACTGAAAATGCAGCACAGTCCTGCACAAATTGTGAGTCACTATATATGCGTAGATCCTTTACGCAGCCAGAGCGACGGAAAAAAAGATCACAAAGACAGAGTCAAACAGAAGCGGTGTGACCCGCCCTTCAGATAATGGCAGTAAAAGCCGCCACTCTTAGGTCATTGCTGATGTCTTTCCACCTTGGCTTTGTGTTAACAAACTCTTATGTGAGACAGAGAAGCATGTGACCAAATGTCTGCCTTTGTAGAGATACTTACTGATATTGTTATATAATCAGCACCTATCAGTTACTTTTTTAAATCTAGATCTAAATCAAGCAGAGTAGAGTTGTGCTCTATTTAAACTAAATTTTTTCCATGACTGTATTTGGATATAAATATTTGAACCATACAGTAAATAAAGAAGTATTTCTAAAGTTCTGAACTACAGTACACTTGGCTTCT